ATCATCCTACTGTTGATTATAGGAATCAAAATGCACGCTATGGGCAACCTGGCAGAGGCTACAGCAAAAGGCTGCAGAATCTTGTGGGCAATAGGGCAGGCAGCTATTCTGGACTATTGCCCAAAATAAATCTGGAAGGCTTTAGGATGCTACAAGATGTCAGAAGATGGAAAGATTAGTTTATTTAGAACAGGGTTCCTCAAACGTTTCCACCAGGGGCCAGCTGAAAGCTGCCGGTGCCCAGAAAGGTGGTGTCGGTGGTGTGCGCGGGCCAGTGCAGGGGCGGGGGTGGTGCATGTGGGCGCGTGCGCTGAGGTGGGGACAGGGGGCGCAGTGAGGCAAGGTGAGGCGAGGTGTGGGTGGGCGCATGAGGGGAGGCGAGGTGTGGGCAGGGGCGGGCATGCGCCGCAAGGCGGGTGCACGAGGCAGCAGCTTGCTTGCTTGGAGATCTTTTTCTTCCAGTGAGTGAACTGCTGCCTCCCAGTGTGCAGGGCGAGGTGGGCAGTGGTGGGTGTGCCCGCGGGTGTGGGCGCATGTGCAGCAGGTCCAATGGGCATGGCAGGCCAGAAAAATGGTCTGATCTGACCCCCGGGCCATAGTTTGAGGATGCATGATTTAGAACATGTGAAGCCACCTTTCACTGATAAGGCAGGTTGAAAGACACTAAAGCAAAGGAAATACTATCACGATGCAGGCACACACAACCAACAGTGGTGAACTGCCTCGCCCTACTCCTCCAGTACAGCGCGACTCAAGCCAGTGCCCCTGGTTTGGAAGCCAGCCCTGATGGGGCCGGGGTTCTAAGGAAGCCCTACTGTTAGTACCTGCCTGCATAAGGGGGGTAATTGGCAGCCCGAAGAGCAGTGCATCAGGAGATAATCTTGGCGGGTGTAGGCAGGCCTCTGAGCAACACGGCCCAACATCCAACACCAATTCCTTGGATTTGCTCAGAAACAAATTAGTGGTCAGGGTGGCCAATACAGAATAGGACACGATCCAAAGGCCTCATTGCCGCAGGGATGCTGCAGCTGAAGTTCTGGAAGAGCAGACCCACACAGAGTGCACAACCCTATTCCAGTCTGGGAATTGCCAAGACATGTTTCACCCTTGCTAGGTCTGCTTATCCTGGATGCAGCTGCAGCGGTGGACATGGAATAACCAATTCAAGTTGTGACAACCCAGATTCAGGCTGGACACCAGGAAGAGCTTCCTCACTGCCAGAGCAATATGACAGTGGAACCAGCTGCCTAGAGAGGTGGTGGGCTCTCCCACACTAGAGACATTCAGAAAGAAATAGTTGCTCTTTTTAATATGACAGAGGCAGATTAATTCTTGAAAAACCTTGATAAGATATATATATATATTTAAAACTGAATATCAGCTTCTTTCGTTTGAATTGTTTGGGCTACTTGCCATAACATCAGGAAATTTATGAAGAGAACCAAAAACATAGAGCAGAAACATTTTAAAATTATTAATGCATTTCCAGCATTCTATCTAAACTAGAGTGGTTCCAGAAGTATGTCTTGAAGGATGCATATGGTAGCCCAGAGGGTATGTTGCCATCCCTGAGCAAAATGTTACCCGCATTTAGCAATTAATTTAATGTGCTCCTTCCAAGTGTGAGTGTGTGTGTGTTTACGTTTAGCACAACAGTAATAGCTTTAATTCTCCAGTTTGGTCTCTGTACTCATGGGAAGGATGACAGGCCTATACAGACCACTGACAGCCAAGTTTGGGGTGACAAGTGTTTTCCTAATGCCAAGAAGAATTTGATCGCACTTTTCTAAAGAAGGTTTTGAGCATCCTGAAGATGCCGCCTCCTCATTCAGGCCGGAAGTATGAGAATTTTTAGAAGATGTTTCAATAAGATCCCTGATTTTTTTGCAGGGGGCGGGGTGGTGCATGTGCCCAATTAACTGACAGACAGATGAAGTTGGAGTTATTATCCTATTTCTTTATAACCCGTTCAGATTTCTGGTTCTCATAAAATCACACTAGGGCAGTTATTTTATTTGCGGGGGTGGCATTGCATGGAAGGGTGACCTTCTATTGGGCCAGACGGAGCGCCGTAAGCATGGAGTCCTCACCAACAACTATTTGGGTCAAGGCAACGCATGCAGGGAGCAGGGAAAGACTAGGGGTCAGCTACCAAGGAAAGAGGAGCAGAGTCCCACAGGCAGGCCAAGAAGGAAACAAAATAAGTCTGGTTTTAGCGAGCGAGCTCCCCACTCATTGCCCGAACTGTGCTTAGCAATTCTGATGTGTTACTGAGCAGACAGCTCAAACTTGGGATGAGTAATCTCCCTTAGTCCCTCTTCAGCAGGCAATGAAAGTAGGTTCCACTTTGAAAATCCTTCCCCCATCATGCAAGCTGACACAGGCATGCTTTTCAAAAACCCACAGCCAATCTGTTGATCATTACTTATTTACAAAGGCCTTCAGGCAGAAAGTCCTGTAAAAACCATACTTGATACGGTATACACTGGCTTTTTCGGCTTGTGGAAGGGGGAAAAAAGTCCCCCTAAGGCTACCTCAAACCATCACTTTCTATTGCACATAAAATGTATGGTGTAACACTAAAGTATTTAATATATATGGTATAATATATCTACAGGAAAGGCATTTGTGTAGAAGTGTGTTAGCCTGTATTTGGTAATTTGATGTTTTGCTGAAGGCTATGACTTGAAAAAGTCTGTACCTAGTGCAGAGGACCTGTCATCTCGGTACCCAAGAGCCAGTAGAATAAAGAAGTACCCTAAAGCAGCAAAACTTTGACACAGCTTTGAAGCATATGAAAACAGTATAACTCCCCAGAATTATTATGACTCAAGATCAAAGAAATGAGGCATACTTTACATAGCAAACAGGGACAGTGCACTTCACTCCGAATGTAGCTGCGCTCCTTTCCCTTTTGCACTTCTTTCATTTTGCTTTTATACCCCTACATTTAGCAGATGATAGAAGGATGGGGAGACTCCCCTTTTCACCCTTTCAAATTCCAAGATGATAAAATTAGTGGAGATGAAACGACTTGAGGAGAACTGAAGTGAAAATGATGCAGAAAGGGCAACAAGCAGCATGCACACGAGGAAGGGGATGGTGAGCTCAAATCATTCATCCCCTAAGCACGCATGCAAATCTGCACTGCAGGGGCAAGCCTGAGCTAACAGGAACTTGGGGAACTGTTGGAGTGCCACATTGAGCAACGGGAGAGCATCGACAGGGCCCAAGAAGATCATGGCATTTGTGCTTTGTGACTCAATCTTGCGTTTTGTTCCTGCAGGTCTAAATTCCAGTCCAAATGGATTTGAGTTGAGATGATAGACACAAATGTACCTTAGACTGCTGGAGGAGTGAAAAGGAATGGATTCCTCTAAGCAGCGACTCTGATTTAAGTGACAGGAAAATGTGGGGGGAGGGTGGGAGAGACCATCTGGAATTATTCAGGAATACTAATCATGGCCACAGAAATGAGAAACCAACTATTTAGAAAAATACAATCTCTCACCCCTTTGCTGCTGTACACGAGATGACCTCAGTCAAGGTTAACCAAGCCATGGATGCAGAGTTTAGCTTTTCTATGTATAGGACTGAATATGGTCTTGTATATATTATAAAGGGTTGCTATTCCGACTCCAAAATTTTCCCACCCAATGACTATGGTCTGATCAGAGAATCACCACAATGACAGCATAACACTGTTTTCCAATGCCATCGGGTCAGAACTACTGGTAGTCCACATCCTAGCAGCACGGAAATTCTCCAACAATAAGTCTGCTTATTGTTGGAGGATTCTCATCAAGTAACTGCAGAAGCAGTCTGTTCAGTGAGTAGTCTATTATAGAAGCTCCAGTGAGTTGAGAAAGCCACCTTACACTTGTATGAAAATCTTAACTTCTCAGTCATTTAATCTAAGGATAAACCATTCATTTCCTACCAGGATTTGACCCAAACATGGAGCTTATTCCTACGGCAAAATCCTGAAAGATGCCAAAAGAATTCCAAAAAGACCACCAAAAATGTATTGGTGGTTTTTCTGAACATCTCTCTGTTACAGTCATTGGATTTACCTAAATAATAAAGCAAAATTCAAAGCCACTATGGAGATTGGCTTTAGGACAAATATCTGAAGAATTAAGAGTTTTGTTATACAGTATAGTCATAAAAAAGAAGGGTTTTTCACACTCCTACATAATTTTAGTATAAAACACAAGATCTTGCTTGCAGTTATGACCCTCAGAAAATCTTTGCTTGGATTTATCCAATGGAAATGACATTATAGGAGCACTACAGGAAATAAAACTGCATATGAAACAATACATGGGAAAATAGCTAACAACAAGAATATCTTTTCATCACCTGCCTTCATACTATCCACACTCCTTTTAAGAAATCCCCATATTTCATAATTAATATTGCTTTTAGCCTCAGTACAAGTGCATTGGTTCTGAACTTTGCTTTGGCAAGTACATAGATTATTAGACCTTTTTAAAAAAAAAACATTCAAAATCAATTAGGGGAAATTTGATTTCAATCGACAGGATAAAAGGAAGGTAATATTCAGGTTCATTTTTGATTGCGATGATACATCTCGCATATGGCCTTACGTACAGAAAACAGTACTCAGAGGGATTCCAACAAAAAGAGAATCGCCCAAGGCAAACTAACCACATGAGTTCTTCTGATTGGTTAGCGCTATCATTAGTGCCACTGCTGTTTAAGAACTACACATGGACAGGACAGGGTGACAGCTAAGACTTTAAAGCCTATGTATTTTTCAAACAGCATTTCAAACTGTTTTTCATGACAGATTTTTTTTCCAGCTCTGTCATTAACTGCTGACAAGCTGACAGAATAAATACTTCAGCCTTTCAGAAACCATCTAACAATCTTCTGCTCTCCCCTCCACTTGCTATGCTCCCCCCATTTATTTATTTACTGGGGGAGGAGGGAAGGTTGGAAGAAGAGATAAAGATATGAGTTGCTTAGACTCTTACCTCATCAGCTTGGGTGAAGAGTTAGGCGAATTTCTCATCCCTCCGTTCCGTTGCTTTTTCTTGGGAGAGAGGGTTGTCGGCTGCTCATCTTCAACTAGAAATACAGACAACTTATGAGGTCATGATCGGCTCACGTTGCCACATGAAATCTAGGCAGAATAGCCAAGAACACACACTCAGTTCCATTCACGCACTGATACTTCACGGCTATCTTAATTAGGTTCAGTAAGGACCAAATTGGTGTTAGTCAAAAAAGATCAGTTGGAAAGACAAGGAGGAGGAAGAGGAGGAGGAGGAGGAGGAGAAGGAGAGCAAGGTATTGACTGAAGAAGTTCTGGACATGGTTTCGCATTCCATAAAAGGTCATTTTTAGTTAAGCTGTGTTTTTGGAAAACAGAAATTACCATCCTGCTGCATACACCAAATGATTAAGCATATTTGGCATCCAAACACTGCCAGCCTGCACTTTGCTAATGAGCCTGATACCCATGGGTTCTTAAGCCTTAAATGTCAGACCACAGAGTCTTCACGAAGAAATGTAAGACATTCAGTGCCTTGATGTTCCATGCTGCAATAAATAAAAAAACTATGCAGTTGTGCATAGATCCCCAGCACGAGCCAGAACTCGGTGCTTCACCCTTTGTCACAAAAGGGGATGTTAACATGGGAGCAAGTGCAACAAAGGCAAATGACAGGAGAACTTGCTGACGATGGATGGATGGATGGATGGGGATTGGGGGAGAGACTCTTCTACTGGGAATGGAGCACACCTTGAGTAGAAGACAATTATCTGAATAGCAAAAACAAAGAAGCACATACCTTAAGACTGTCACAAACAGTACCATCTACCATTAAACTGTACCGCACGAGGTCCATACCTTGCAAGAAATTACAGTGGGTTTTCTAACAGGCTAGGAGTCTCTGTTTTGCCACCATCATTAATGGCTAAGGTTAAACAATTTGTGATTAACAGATCAGTCCTCTGCCTTATATAAGCACCTGCTCTCCATCAATGTCTGGTCTGGCAAATTAACACCACAATCAAGTAAAGCAGGTGGGTTTCCACCCTGTTATTAACAGAAAATCAGACCAGATAGAATCGAAGTTGCGGTGCCTTAGGTGGAAGTTGTGTTTGAGTTAAAAAATAATAAAAGTGCAGAACCTACATTAAAGAACAAAAGGAACAAAGCCACTCTGGTGACTAGGATCAAAAGGCAGGGCAGGCATTTTGGAAAGGGGGGGGTATGGATTTACCAAGATTTAGCCGAGAATGGATTGCACAATATCTCTGGACCTCATCCAGATGAAGTTGGTTGCAAGCACTATAAATCTAAATCATTTTAAGACAGCGGCATTACTTTTGCAGGGATTGGGTCTCTGCTTATAACCTCTTTTTGTGGTTCTTTGTTACCTGCATTGCTTTCCCTCACCCCACAACCTCACAACTGATGCAAACATGTGCAGTAAATAGAAAATGTCCAGTAATGGGCAAAAAGGAAACAAGAATTGGGAACTGCTATAACTGACATTAAGAAAAAGGATCATGCATTATGGTATGATGTGCCCCCAAAGTATCCCTTTTGCTTCCAAAGTACTGGATGGTAAAAATGGGCTCAAACCTAACACAAACCTTACAAGACCAAACTCTCCTAACCACACAAATCAAAGTTCAGCAAGTTCTATTAGTTCTATTCCAATTTTTGCTTTCAAACTTACAATATTTCTAGGCCGCCTTTCAGGACAGATGTCAGAAATGCCAGAAATAACAGTGTAATTAATAGTGTCTGTTTCAAACCAGTGTTGCTATCAGTTCCTGCGTCTTAAAACTGTTGAGTATTCCTCTCATTGATGAAATGTATTTCTTTCATCAGAATGAAGAAACTTGTTCTTATTGTAAAAGGTGAGACATCACTCCAGTCATTGCCACACGCCCCAAAATGTTTTAGAATATAAATTATACAAAAGGAACTTATTCTTCATGGGCCACATGAAAATAGGTTTCTTCCATAAAAAACATTGTTCACAGCTGAAATGCCTGAATGTGTAGGTACAAGTTGGAAGCATTTTCTATAGCATGTGCCCAATCATTTGCTATAACAATTCACATGTTAGTAGTAAAGCAGTAAGGTAGATATTCTCATTCCGGTAACTAGCATTGCTCATATTTTCCACCTTCCAGACGTTTGCATTGAACTAATTTGAGAACAGAAGGCCTCACGTCCATTCATGTGGCAAGAAGCCACTGCTAGCTACATTCTCTCTATTGGTGGCCATGAAAACTGTCAGCCGGAAGACACAGAAAGAGACCGACTGGAGAGAGAGAAAAGAGGGAGGTAGGGCGGTAAATGGACTTTTATGGCACACCAGTGCTAGATAAGCCATTTTGCATCATGCGCTACAGGATTTCTACATGACACTGTTAATCTGTTTTTAATATATTCGGTTCTCTTGAAGAAATGAGATCTGAGCTCTATACAAAGTGCTTTTTCGCTACACGACCCTGAGGCAGTCCTGAGCTGTGGTGGCCTAACAGAATTGCATATAGGAAGATAGGCTGCTCTTGTTTTAGAAGTAATGCTCCCTTTTCCCCACTCTAAAAATTCCTGGCAAATTACTTTTCGAAAAGAAGACATCAACGATTTGAAACTGGAGGGTCATGACATGGCCTAAATAGCTTGTAAACATCCAGGAATGAGGCCTCATGTAGAAAAAGCGACAGAGAAAGCACACACAGTGAGGGATGTTCTGTTTGCTGGCACAAAGTAGGAATGTTGGAAAAATTTCCAACAGATTCAGGTAAGTTTGAATTTCTATGAGTTCCACCCACTGATTCTGCACTGAGCTGGCTGATGCTGCAAACCACTTTTTCCTTCCCAGAATTGCATACAAATGTAACAGACACACATACAAATAAATACATAAACACTGACCATCTTTCTCCCCATAGGTGAAATAGTAAGAAAGTGGATTTGTGAGAAATCTCTGCAGTTTTCCATTTTTGGGTCACCTTTGGGAACATCCCTGCCAACGAGCCCAGGTTTAAGTGCACATTAGTCCTGATAAGAACTGGCACATCTAGAAAGAAATTCCGGGTGGGAGAAAATCATATTCTGTCAAGAAGCAGGTGCCTGACAATCCTCAACATCCCAACCTCAAAACCAGCATCAATCAATCCCCCATTCCCAGAAAGAACCCAGTTAGTGGGCATTGCACTGATAATTTTTAAGATTAAAATGCCAAAAATGGCTTGTTTGGTTCACTCTTCCTTTTGTATTAATTAGATTGTAAAGCATTTGGAATGAGAGGTTATTCTAATATTAATAGCAATAACTTTTAAAATACTAATATTGATAATAGCTACTTTGTTGCTGTGGGTGATAGATATAATACTATAATGACATGAGTGTGTATGTAAGACTGCTACAACTACCAATTCTTCAATTAGCAGTGCATGTTCCTCTTTGAAAAATGTAGAGGAAGAAAATTCTGTAAAATCGACTTTTCTGATTCTTCAGGTAACCAATTTGATTTTGGGCTGAAATATTTAATTCTAACATTGCATATTTACCGAACTGCCTTTTAATGAAGATCTGTTCCTTTATTCTTTTGGCTCTTTTTTAAAAATGCCGGTAAAGAAATATGCGGGTATCAGTGAATATATAGAATTAAATGGCTTCCTTTATCAATTCTGAAACATAGGGAGGTTCGGAAATCTGAAATACAATACAAATTTCAAATTCCAGACATCACCCTGAGTCAGCCTTCTCAAAAAATTGAAGACCTTCCTTGGATTTCTGGCTATCCTTAATTGCAACACATAATACACAATCCTTGCAACTATCAAGAACTCGTTTTTCCTTAGTAGGCATGGCATCAAACAGTTTTATCTCTCAGGAAGGCTCAGCAACAGAAAACTATCAGACAATGGCTAATGGGATTTCAGATACTCTGTTTTAGACTGCAGTTTAGTTTAAAAGTCACAAGGATGTTTTAAAATCTTTGCTTATTCCCAAATTATATTAAAAAAATCATTATTTCAATGACATAACCTCCAGACAATGTTCCATGAATTGATTTAAGATGTGTCGGTAATTTTAAATGCCTTTGTGTGAAGGCGAACATCTGAAAAAACATCTTTCTTGGCTTTTATCCTCCATCCTTCCTTTAGGCACAATCAAGAAAATGTCTTCAAAGAACCAGTGGTCAAGGTCTTAACCATTTAAAATACTTTAATATGTCTATAAAAATAAATCTGTCACCTCTGTTGTCACATCTATGTTACCAACAACACAGTTAACAGCGGCTTTTAACAAAACCCATCTTTCTCTGTATCCCAAAATAAGTTGTAACAGCTAAGCAGATTAATCAAACATCAGTGCAAGCTCATATACTTGCCAAGCCTATTGGTGGAAAAGGTAAAGATTTCAAAGCCAGCCAAACATGAAACACAAAACCAACAAGAAACCATTAGTTGACTAGCTATCTCGATTAAGGTATTAATCACTACATCTAGAGAAACCCACATCTGCAAGGACTTAACGGAGCATTAGAAAGGTCATTTTCACATCCAGAACACTCAGACTGCCAAACCTACACACCCAATAAGTTCTGTTGCCTGGTATATCCAGCTACGGGGTATGCATGCGGTTGAACCTAGGGAGCTTTTGGTTCAACCCCACTGTTCTGTTCTGGTAATGGTGGCACTTGGCACTTGCCCTCTTGACGCAAACTGTGCAGTCTGAGTAACTCGAGTTAGCTTCATTCTTGACTTCTAAATAATAGGGGAAAATGTACATTCATGCGCTGAGCATTACAAGACTGCCCAAGCTACATCAGTGCATTGGGTTTAAAGTCCCTCTCCAGGGATTGTGGCAGATGCTTCACATAGGCTCTAAAATATCAGTGGAGCTCCTCTGTGAAGGTGGATTGTATTGCACTTCTGTAAGTATTCACCATGCCCTACATACAAAAAAGTGAATTTGAAGCTCCAATTCTCCCCCAGCCACCCAAATAGCTAAAGAATAATTTTATGGCCAGGAGCTATGCACATACCTGAAATTTTCCATGTGCACACCGAGACAAGCCTTTTTACAT